CGATGGACTCGCAGTAGTGCACAATCAGATGAGGATCTTGTTTCAGGTACAGCTGATGCTAATACTGATTTACACCCAGACATTCCCCAGATAAATTGTTCAAGTGAAATGCCCACCCAAATAGACAGGACTTCCTCGGAAGTGAACGCCCACATAAACGTTTCCAATGCTGCCTCGACAACTACAAGAGTCACGTTGGTTGGTCAGAGCCGATTTGCGGCTAGAAGCGATCTTGAACATTATAACGGGGGAATTCGCGCTGGTCTTCGCCGGCGTCATCCAGGCTCGACGTCAAGTGGCCTACGACATCAGTATGCTCTTCACTCGCTCCGAATGAGACAGCCGCTGTCTCGAGGTAAAATTCCGGCCGCTCTTATCGACAAAGACGTTGGTGAAAAAGAAGTTAAAGCCAATGCCAAAATCCTTCAACTTTCCAGAAATCCAGAGGTTCCTATATTTTTCATCCACTTATTTACTTAACTTAAAGTCATTAATGATTGTTTGAGCTACATTCCCAGAAGGAAAAAATGGGAAATTACATCATTTAAATATTTATCTGCTATGTAACAATGGAAGGTAAGAAATCGCTCACGTTACTGGTCAAAAAAGGATAGAGAAATTTGATGCCTACAATATAACTAAAAGTTCATTTCAACCTCTGCATTATCATAAGTATTTAATCTATTTATTATATACAAACGGAAATTCTAAAATAATTGGATGGACGTTTATGTTTGCAACTTTATTCTTGTTGGATTGACTTTCATTTTTTATGAAAGTGCATAAAGAAGAAATTCAAAGGTCGATCTTACCAGAAGAGGTCGGCTGCTTCCCGTTGTGCTGCAGCCGTTTGGCTTTAATTTGACGTTCAGGTCGAAGCAGTCCGCCAGACATATTTTCTCGTTTCTGGCGAAAATTGGCTTTGCTTATTTTCATCATAGGATAGATACCATCAGAGCTGGAACCTATTCTTATAAAAGTCTCGCATTAACACCAGGTCAAGAAGATTGTTCGGCTTTATATTAACTCTTATTTAGACTTAATTAAGCAAAATTAAATTAATAGACATAAAGTGATACGGAATGGTTTGGCTAATTATCTTTCATATTGGATCTGCTACTTTTGCTAGTATGTGCGTGTGTGTTAACGCCTATGTACAATACCGGTCCTAAATCAGAGTGGTCAAAAAGGCTAATGTCAGGCTCTGGTCATCATGGCCTAATGACCCAAGAAAAGGCCCTGACTGAGACTGCGTAAGTCAATAAGC